TTTAATCCTTTGATCCAAAGATATTCCATAGATATATTAATATCTTGTATACGTAATATACGTAACAGCTAAAAGATCAATGGATTCTTTTAATTGGACGAATAAAATCATAATATCGAATTACCCGTAAAATATTTCACTTTATAATAAATATTTATTCATAACTTTTGATTCCTGATATTGAAATGCTGATTTTCGAATCTATTTGTTAAATTCTATCAAAAAATATAAAAAAATATCCAAATATTTGATTTGAAAAACTAAAATTTAACCAAATTTTATATTTTAAGTTCATATGATGCTATCAATAGAGGGCGATACAAATTTTATAAAAATATAAGCTCAAAGTAAATAAATAATCGTCAAAAGTGCTTTATTTTTAAATTATATTGTTTAATGTTTCTCATGTTTTTGTACAAAGTGATAAATCGCCATTTATAGAATAATTTGTGAAACTACCTATCGCTATGAAAATCTTTTTATTAAATGATATAGTTGAACACAGATAAAATGGTTGTTTTAAAATAATCTGGAAAACTAATGAATAAACATGTTTAACGTATATAATTAAATAAAAAATTGCACAGAATTGATAATAAATAATATTAATTTAAATTTTAAAATAAATACACAATCTGTGTATGTATGTGCGAGATGATATTTTAATATACCAATAATATAACCTAAATTCAGTTCGATGATTTATTGTTTTACATCGTATCATCTTCAAAGTTAAAATAATTACAATATACGCATAATATGAATTATAATAAAAATAAGTGTAGAAATGTAGTAACAATTTTATAAATATTTCAAATAAAATAATTTAAAAATACATTTCATACTGTAATTATGACGCGCAAGTGTGTACTGTGTAAGGAAACCAATTACAGAAACACTTATAGCTTTTTCTCAGCACCAAAAGATCCTGAAACCCGTAAAAAATGGCAAAATGCTATAGCCATTGAAAATTATGCTGTTACTGACGATACATATGTTTGTAGTAAACATTTTCACAAAGATGATATTATCACACATTGGGTTAGTGGTGTACCTCCACATGTTGTAACTGTAAGTTTAACTATTTTGTATTTATCATATATCAATACTGTTATTCTTTTTACTACATAATTCTATTATTTTGTAGATTAAATATAAGAAATGCAGATTAAGACCAGGAGCTGTACCAGAAAGGAATTATCATTCTGAAGATGTTCAAGAAAATTATGATGATTCTCAGAGTAATATTGATAAATTTGATAAAATAGATACAATAGAAGAAAAAAAAACAGATTTTCTTATACCTAGAACTGAAGAAGAATTACAAATAAATAATGATGAGAATCAGTTTTCTTGTGATTTTAATGATTATATCCATAATTCTAAAAGAAATTCCTTAAATAAAATGGAATTGATGGAAAATAGTCCAAATGTAAATAATGCATCTTACAATGGATCTAAAATTAAAGAATCTTTGAAACAAAATAAAACAACAAACTTAATGGAAAACTGTATCATTTCTGAAACAAATTTGATAGAAGGCACAAATTTTGAAGATAAAAGAAAAAACCAAAGTCAAATATCTAAAGGAGATTCCTATTTCAAGATACAGAAAAAAAGTTCAGAGTCTTCCTCCAAAAATTATATTTCTGAAGAACATGAAATAATAGAATGGAAACACAAAACAGTGAAAAAAGATACATCATCTAAAGAGAAATCACCAGATAATTTTAAAACGGAGAATGTATATAAGATGTATATAGAAAATCAAATAGTACACAATTTAAATTATAATCAGTTAGATGAACATTATTCTATGTGTAATGAAATTGATGAAAATGAAATGTTATTTGAAGATTTACTTGAAATATGTACTGAAATATTATTACCACGTGGATGGTCATGTTTAGTAACTTCAAAAGGTCATACAACAACAATAGTATATTTATATATGGGAATGACAAAAAGTGGTATGCCTTTCACAGAAAAACAAGTATTTATAAAGAGTGATATGATGTTGCATTGTGTTGTTATAAATAAAGAAATTAATCCACTTATTCACAATCTTATAAGAGAAGGAAAACATTTAAAAGTACAGAATTTATCAGATATAGAAGAACTTATTGATGAATTTGATCGAAGAACTGTTTGTCAAGGTATTTATATTTCTTTTTCTTTTTTCTTTGATTTATATTTATAATATAATAAATATATCTTTTATATTTTAAATTAGGTATATATAATTTCGGAAGATTACAAGATATTAATCGTATCATAGTTGCTTATAAAGATGGTATAAAGTGGAGACACATTTTATGTCCATTAATAGTGAATAACGATTCATCAAGATGCACAAGATGCATTTCATTGTCTCGTACATTACAGCATAAATCGAAAAATCTTGTATTTCCTCACAATTCTTCAATATTTAAAAACCAGCATCAGAAAATACATTCAATACGTCATAAATACAAATATACAAGGAAACAAGGTCATGGATATGAATTTATAAAAGTATTCAAATAATAATTTTAAATAAAAATTTTTAAAAAGTACAATTTTTAATTACATTCTCTACCTTAATTATTTGTGAAGAACATTATATATAGAATTACAATTAAATTGTTTTGAAAATATATGTAAAATTATTATAAAAATGTTGTTTGTCTCTTTAATTTGAATAATAGTCACTTTACATTTTAATATTACTTTACATCATTCTATAAATTTTATTTAATTTAATTATATAATTAATTAACATTAAACCACTTTTTCACTTACGAAATTTAGGTTTATCTTCATATTTAATTTTATTGTTCTTCGTATTTTGTGAACGTTCCTAAAATATTTATTAAATATATAAAAATTTATTTCACATTTATTCAATGTTTAATTAATTATTATAAAAAAAACAATGTAAATAAATTTAATTTTTTTTTATAAAAAATTTTTCTTACCATAGACCATTCTATCCTTAATTGTTCTAACATTTTTGGCGTTAAAAGACCTCGAGATATTAACCTATTACTTAATTTTTCTTTTGATTGGTTTATATGGTTATCTATATATAAAACATAATTGTGTAAAAATATAAAGAATAAACTTAATAATAGTTTTTAATAATCAATAGATTACCATTTAGTGTTTCAAAATTTTCAAATGACTGTTGCTCATTATTTTCCAAAGTACCTATTTAATAAAATTAAATAACATTATTTGACCTGTTTACTTTTAAACAAAAAAATTAATTCAATATCAGATACCTGTTTTCGACTTTTGAAATAATGTTGTTATTTTTTTAATTCCCTCCTCAATAATTTTGTCTAATTCACGTTGCAATTTCCTAACTGAATCTTCATCAGGAAATAAATTTGATATCCGATAACTGTATTATAATATAAATTGTATTACAATTTAATTTTTTAAAATAATTATAAAAAATAATAAAATTATATTCTTACCTTAACCAAAGATAAACATCTAGGCTATCAAATATACCTTCTAAACGTAAAAGCTCAATAAGATTCGATGGTATTTCGGGAGGCCATTGAATTTGCTGGCATAACCATAAAATAGTTACTGGCTCATTTTTACTACATTGTCGAGCATACTAAATAAAAAATATATATCTTATAATCTTTTTATAATTTTTAAAAGTTTTATAATCTTATTATAATTTTAATCTATACCTTTAGAAACATACTGCACGTTAAAGGTATTTTTCTATTAACTGGTGCACAACAAAATAAATATCGCAGAGAAAGAGGCAAAGGTATATGTTGTATCATATCAGCAAGAAATTTAAAATCATCTAAATTACATATAAAATATAAAGAATTGTCAACTTCAGACAATGCAATAAAAATATTCTGAAAAAAGAAATATTTTAAAATTATAATAAAAATTATTATAATTAAAATTATAATAAAAATTATTATAATTAAAATTATAATAAATTATAAATTAATTATATTCAAATATTACAATGAGATTTGATAATGGTGCATTTGGTAAATAATAAGAATATAATTCTATTTGATCTGCAGTTGGATGAAGTCCAGCTTGTTGAATATCTTGCGGGGTTTGTTCTAATAAATTTTTTAATAAAGACAAATCTTCAGGTTTGTAAGTTGTTACAAATCCCTGTAACATAGAAACTTAATAATAAAATTATACTTTTTATATTATTATATTTTATTTATTTTTATTCATTTAAATCTGATTATAAATTACTTTAGACCATTGTGTTCCATAACGTCCAGCACGACCTGCTATTTGTAATGCAGATGATACTGAAATTGTATCAATATCTATTTCTCCTTTTTCATTTATAGTTGGTTGAACTAAACTATAAAATATAATTCTGCGAATATGTCTGAAAAAATATCAATATTTTTTAATATAAAATTCTAATATAATATTCTAATTTAATATAATTCTATAATATCTTGTTAAATATTATAGAAAAATTGAAATTTTTAATTATAATCTTACAAATTAAGACCCATTCCTATTGCATTAGTAGCTACTAATATATTACAAGGATCTTCAGGATTATTAAATCTTGTAGCTTGCGCTAATTTTGTGCCTGGTGGTAAACTACCATATATTACAGCTACTTGATGTCCCATTTTTTCAATAGCATTTGAAACAGCGAATATTTCGTTTCTACTAAAACAAACAATACAATCTCCTGGTTGAATATTTTTTAGAGAATAAAGTGCTGAATTTTCTATTTCAAGTGGAGTCAATCGTTTATATTCCTTTATTTCTACTGATTCACCTGTTGTTAAGCATATTGATTGTATCTATAACAAAAATGTTATAAAAATTTTAAAAATAAATAATATTTTAATATATCATTTATAAAATAAAATTATGAAACAAACTATGGGTATAGCAGCAGATTCACCACATAAATGTATTTCATTTGCAGCAAGACCAAGAAGAGCTCTTGTCCATGCCCAACCTCTAGTTGGATCACGTATTAATTGAATTTCATCAATTACTGCTACTTCATCTGTAAAAATTATTTATTTAATTTACAATAATTAATTTGATGAAAATTGTATGAAGCAATAAAATACATTACATACAAAATTATAAATCAAATTTACTTACAAACATTTTGTATATTTGTCATTTCTACAGAACATGAAATATGATTAGCAGGACATGTTATATCTTTTGCATATCTATGTTCTTCTCCTGTTATTAAATCACAAGGTGTACCCTAAAATTATTTATATTTATTAAAATAAAAGTAATTAAATGATATTTTTTATACTAACCATAGAATTACATTTATTAAAAACTTCATTAGCTAATAATTTTAATGGTCCACAATAGACACCACTTTTTGCTGACATAAATCTTTGTAAAGCATGATAGGTTTTACCGCTATTTGTAGGTCCAACATGAAATATAATTTTTCTCTTTTTAGATCGTGCTATAGGATACCTAAGAATAATAATAATTAAATTTAACTTGTATATATTTAAAGTTTAATAATATATTATTATAAGTATTACCATTTAGATGGATTTCGTAAATCACTGATTTTTTTCAATTCATCTAAACATTCAATATGTGGATACATTTTTTTAATAAAATTCAAAAAATAAGGATATATATCTAAAATATTTCCTGCACCATTCATAATATCACTTAAAACAATATGAAGATCTGTAGGTAAATTATTGGATTCTATACAATATTTTCGAAAATTTGCCATAGCTGAGTTAAAAATTAACTCTACAAATAATTAGATAATTAAAAAATATATATATATAAAATTAAGAAAATTAATCAAGATATAATTAATAAAAATTACCATCTAATCCATAATTTATAGTTAATTCTTTAATTTCTTCCTTCTGTGCAAAATCGCATAAAATTTGTATAATTTTACGTTTATTTAAACTACCAGTTAATTCAATACCAATTGCATTATCTGAATTTTCTTTTACAGGAACTGGTTTAAATAAAGAATTTATAGATTCTTTAACTTTTAAAGTGTTATTTTGTTTTTTTTTTATATTTTGTCTAAATTTACTTTTAAAACATAGTTGTCTAAAAATCATATACATTTATTAGATAAGTTAATATAAATTAATATAATTTAAAATTTTTGTAAATGCTATAATAATTACAAATATAACAAGAAGAAAAATATACACCTTAAAAGTGAAGACACAATAAAATTATTTCGTGTTTTTAATTGTTCTGTAACAATATACATAATTGATATCATTGTTAAAACTAATTTTATTTATTTTCATATTCTATAATTATTTTTTATATAAAGAACTTAAACCTCGTGTCAAAAGGTTAAAATATGTGGCGACATCTTTGTTATTGAAATGAAATGATAATGTATATATAGTAGTATAGTCATCATATTAAATTTTTCATTTTAGTTTATTAATAGTGTTAATTATTAATAATGTTAATTATCCTCAAAAATTATATATTTTTTATATAATTGTAACAATAAGAATAAAAATATAATTTAAAAAATTTTAATAAAATTTCAATATTAATTTTTCTAACTTTTAACATAGTTAATAATTTTTGTTTTTACCAATAATTGTAATAATTTATTATATAAATAATTTATTATATTATATAAAAATTTAATAAACTACATATTAATTTAGCAGAAAATATTTTGTAGAAAATTATACATACATATTTTATTGTTTTAACATAGATTTTATTTTTTTCTTGTAATAATTATAATAATACATTTAGTGTGCAATAGTTGTTATACTTGAAATAGTTTTTTTTCTTTTATTTATAGTTACTTTCTTTTATTTATTAAAAGGAATTTTATTTGTATATTATTTACATTCTAAAAAATTCAAGAATTCTAAAAAATAATTTTCAAAATTATAAATTATCTTAACACTAACCAAAATTTTTATTTTGAAATAAATTGATATAATTTTATTAAAAAGTTTAACATAGTTTAAAATAAAATTTAAATTTAAGTTTAAAATAAAATTTTAAAAAATAAAAATACAATTTTATATTTATATTTATTATATATATAATTTATTATTCATTTATAT